ACCACAATACCGACAAGTGATTAATAAAAGTCAAAAGACCAAAGAGGTCACCTTAATACCAAAAAAAAAAAAAATAACATTCAGGCTTCAAAGTTTATTAATCTGATCATTATTTAGAATATGCTTTACTTAGAATTAATGCTACTGTTGCTGGGTGTATCTGAATATATTTATAGTATGCATCTGATGACCATCTGCTGAGTTTTTGAATTAGTGGCAGCTGAATGCCATGTATAACTAACTCTGTTATGCCCCCAGCACAGAAACTATGCCCTGCTATATTAGTGCCAAGTAAGATTAACTTTAGTATATTTATAAACTAGCCCTTCATAGCTAACTTTTCACCTTTTTTGATGAATAGTGTTCTTTCTTCTAGATTATAAGTTGGGTTGGTTCTGAGGACTATGTATATCTTTAGTGTAGAAATCAGGCATAATTTGTCTTTTGTTGAGTTTATAATCAAGATGGATGTTCTATGACTTTGTGGCTTTTAGTTCTAAGTAGTTGTATTGTTGCAAAGGTGCCTGCACCTAATTTCTCAAACCTTAGTGCCTGTATTGAGGGTACCATTCATAAGTTCTGCCATGACTTGGATAGTAGCTTTTCTAAACAGGCCAGACTATAAAATACTACTAGTGCAACTGACCAGAATAATAAGTTGTTAGGATTCTTTATACTTAGTTTTGATCTTATATACCACAATTGGTACTATATGATGTGCTCTTTTTGTTGGGTTGGTTTAAATGTATGACTGCTTTTAATTGTTTTCAACAGCTGTTTTATTAGTGAATCATAATATATGTTGTTCTATTCAAGCTGGTTTATAATGTGATGGTGCTTTAGTGCTGATAAGTATGATATAATGGATGGGGGTACTATCTGTGGGTATAAGTATGTTATGTACTTGGTAAGATTATCTTTTAAAATAGGCCAAATTGTTTTGTTTCCATTTGACCAATTATTTTCTAGGGCTAGTTTTTCATACTGTCTAATTATTGCATTGTATGTTCTGTGTTTATGGTGGTGTGATGTCTAAAATTGCTGCTGCCTGTTCATCAAGTGGTAGTTCATTAATGTAATTATTGATTGTTTGTATCTGTGGTTGTTATGATATTGAATTTGTATTTTCTATAATTATTGCATTTCTTGTCCCTATATATTGAGTGATAGAATTGTAGTTATAAGATTAGTGTATTTTGTTGAGATTACAGGGTGTAAATATTGTGCCCAGGGATTTCTTGTTCTGTATTATCTGTATCCTCCTTGTGATAACAAGTCTGCATCTATGTTGTCTTTGCCAGAAATGTGTTCTAATTTAATAGAATAAATTTCATATATTTGAGCTATGTAGATATCAGCTATTATACTATTTATTGTTAAGTTTTTGCAGTAATCAGCATAAAATGCTTCAGAGTTTGCTTGGTTATCTGTTCATATAATTAGTTATTTCTGTAATCATAAAGATGAGAATGTAAGTGTTGCTATTAAACATATTAGTAACTTACACATCTGAATGCTATGTGTAGATATATTGATCTTTGTGACCAGTTGAATGCTATAAAGTAAGAGTCATATATTGCTCCACCACCTAGATTTGATGCATTAGTGTACAGATTCTGAGTATTTAGTTGTATTCATAATTGGTCTTGAATAAAGGACACTTTAGACTATTTGGGAAGCATTTGAAGCTACCAATTTATATCAGCTCTCATTAAGTCTGTTATGTTTATATAAAATTTTGATTTGTTAGGACCTTCAAGTTTTTTGATAAGACATTGAACAAAGGGTCTTTCTTGGAGGATAACTTGGCATAGCCATATAAGTGATCCTACTAATGACTATAATTCTTTTTTATAACACCATTTTTTTAAATACTATTCAGTAAGCAAATCTGTAATTTTTGACTTTTTTGACTCTGGAATGAATGCTAAAAAAGTGTTAGTATCAATTTGAATTCCTAAAAATGTTAGTGCAGTACATGGTCCTTCAAGTTTTGATAGTTTATATGGAATGTTTAGTAATTTCAATATATGAAGAAACTGATCTAATTCTTGTTGTGCACCTGTTTTAGATATGATTAAAAAATCATTAACATAGTGTATTATTGACTTTATACCATTTTGTACTGCAATCTATGTAATAATATCAGCAAAGTGGCAAAAAATTTTTCCTAATGCCCTATTGCCAAAGGCAAAAGCTTTGTCAAAATATATTTTGTCCTTATACTGAAGTCCTTGTAATACTTAATCAACTGAATGTACTGATAAAATTTAATATGCATCTTGAATATTAATCTTTAATAAAAAAACAACTATAACCATATTTTGCTATCTATCCAATTGCATGATTTAAATATTCATATTTTGTTAAGAACTCATAAGGATCAATACCATCATTTATGCTACTGCCTGATGGTGCTGATAAGTGAGATATTACTTGGTACTTTTTTGGCTAGGTGTTTTTATTTTCTACTAATCTATATGAATTTATTTGAAAAACAGTGCATGATAAGTTGTTTATTGTAAAAGGTCCACACATTCATCCAATAGCAATTTCATTATTTATATACTCAATTAATGCATCTGGTTTGATATCTACTGATTTTAAATTATCTTGTATTATTGTTGTTCTTTTTCCTGTAAAATTGAACCTGAACCCATGCTTTAATTCTTCTTTTATATACTAGATAAATGTTCAGTTAGGATAATCTTGTGTTAAGTAATTGAATACTAGTTTATTAACTGGTGTTGTCACATTAAATTAAGATAGATCTAATTGTGCTAATATTATCATTTCTTCTTCTGACATTGGAATATTCCTTGAAGGTTGTGTATTAATTGTTTGGTTTACTAATTATAATATAGGTTCAAAGCATGCAGTTATTGTTCTAGATGCCTTAAATTGTGTTACATATTTTAACCTTGCTCTTTTACTGATATTTGTAACTAATGCACATATAGTAAAGTATTGTTAGTTAATTGTTGTTTTTTTTTGTGTAACTGTTATATGTCTAGTGAGTTTTGTCAGTTAATTGAATTTTTATTTATTTATTTTGTTAATTATTGTTATTGTGTTGTACATTTCTTTGTAAGTTTGTATTTGAAAATGTAGAGTTTCTAAGTTTAGGATGCTTGTGAAAGCAGTTCTTTTCATTATGACCAAGCTTTTGCATATAATGCATGCATGTATTCTGCTACAATTTTTTTCATCTGCATATAATCTTTTATTTCAATTGAGACAAATCTCTTTACCATCATTCCATGCAGTTTTAACTTAAGAGTTTTGTTGTATTTTATTTTTTATTATTTTAATTGCTAACATGTCAAAATTTTTCTTTCAACTTCAATGTCTCTTTCTATTCATTACTAATGCAATCCAATGATCCTCATCATATCTCATAACAGCTGAAATTTTATATTTAGTATATAATTTATTGATGTGGTCTCAGTATGCATACAATTCTTATTCTCAGTTATCATATATTATAAGAATTGCATCTATGTAAGCTTTAAATGCAAATAACCATTCTAATATATTTTCAAATGACATGTTATGTTTTCATTTTTTAATGGCTACTGTTCCTCCTTCTGATGTCTGTAACACCATATCTTCATTAGTTTGTTTGACATTATTGATTAAATTTTTCTGTGTAAATTCTTGTAGGTCTATAAATAAGTTAAAAGCTACTGCTTTCCATAACTTGTTTGGCAGAATAGGTTTTCTTGATAGCATTTCAATCCTCTTTTGGCTTTCTGCCCAATTCATAACTTACCATAAACATTTTTGTTCTGTTACTATAGCTTTTTAATTGATAAAATCTTGAATTGCTAATGCATTTTCTTTGAAAGTATAATTTAAAGATGAATACTTCCTATTAGTCATCTTGTAGGTTGGCATTTCACTATAGTTTATTATTTCGGCACTCTAAATTCCTAAGCTGGACTGCAATATTAAATTGTTAACTATTGGTGTTAAAGGGTAATTATCTGATGGTGTTCTGAATTTTCTTCATGTTTTTGTTGCTTGCTGCTAACTGTTTATTTGATTTGTGAATTGTTTGCTGGTTGTATCTTGTGTACTAATACTTTGAGCTGTTTGACCAGTATTTGAAAGTTTTTGGTTAACAGTCTCCAAGAAATGCAAGCACCATTTCTGTTATGCTTCAGCTTGCTGATTTATAAATTGTTGCATGTTCTGCATTAGTGATGCTAATGCTGCTTGAATTGCCATGTCTACATATGATCGCATTCATAATTCTATATCTGACATTGGGGTTCTTGTGGTTCTTGACTACAGGTTGCTTCTACTGTATCTGTTAATTCAGCAGATGCCATACTATTACTTCTGTTCTTGGCGATACTTTATGTTTTATATTTGTTCATTGTGAATTTACTCCTTGTATCTGGTGAATTGTTATTCATACTTGCTAAAATAGCTATTCTTATATTCAATCTAGCATTAAGAATATTGTTAGTGATTATCTAATTGGTTTCAAAATAGAAAGCTAATTAAATTGTATTTATTTTTTGTGATCGCATGTGCTTGCTTATGTGATGTTGATTGAATGCCCGATCTAAATGCATTAGCTGCTATTATTGGTTGCAGCTAGTATTCCAGTTTGCACAGCCTAGTGAGGTTGCTTCCGGCATAACTTTGTTTTGCTATCTTTTGATCTGTTGACTTTTTGTCAACATGAATGAATTAAGGTTTGAATGATTTGACCATAAGGGAGAAGTAGTAAATTGTAATAAAGAAATAATTTATTAAAGCATATATGAAAATCATAGAGGATTAAAGATGTTATAAATGATTTTTTAAAATTGTCTTTTACAGAGTCGATCACCATATGCTTGGCTCTTATAGCTGTGCAAGATATCATAGTCTGCCCTGTACATTGGGTTTGACTATCATTAACTTGGCCTTCTACATTAAAGTTATTATTTGGTTATTGTAATAAAGAGTTAGTATAGTGATATTTAGTTTGTTTTTGTTTTGAAAAATACATAAAAGTCAGATTTAGTTGAATTAATTTTGATGTTGTTAAGATTATATAATTGTTTTGTATCATTAAGAATATGTTAAAAGGTTTTAGGGTTTTTACTGGCCAAACAGTATTATCTATAAAAGCTATAGGAGGTATATTATTGAAGAAGATAATATATTGAAAATAATCTCAAGTGGTGAAGAGAAGGTAATTTTAAGTAAATGATTGTTATATTTATTATGAATATAATTCAGAATTGGATCTTAATAAATTTTCTAAATAGAGTAGAGTATGTTTTCTGATTTGATATGAACAGATAATGTAAGACCATGTGCAGTAATTATTCTTGCTTGTTGGTTTGTATATAGTTTAGTAATAAGTTGAATTCCTTTGAAAGAAATACCAATTATTTTATAAGTGTTTTGTAATTTAGATATGTTGGTTTTATCAAAGGCTTTAAACATGTCTTAAAATATTATTCAAGCTTCTTTATTGAAATGTTTGTAGTATTTAATAATATTGTTAAGGATTTGAATAGAGATATGTGTTAAAAAGTTTTTGCTAGCAGTGAAGTTAAGATTAGAAAGGAGTTTATTAGAGTTGATAATATAATCCAGTTTTTGTGTAAAGATTTTAGTAAAGCATTTTTTTATTAGTACTATAATTAAGATTGGATGAACTTGATTAAGTGTAAAGTTCTATAAAGATTTTTTTGAAATAAGAAAAATATTAGATATTTTTCAATTAGATAAAATTTTTTGAAGTTGAAAACACTTGTTAATAAATAATTTAAAAAAAATTTGGCCAATATAGCCTACATATTTAATATGTTCATAATTAGTTTTGAAAGGAGCTGCAGCTTTTTGAATAGGAAGATTTTGAATAGTACTTTGCCATTCATCATCAGAGATATTGTTAAATAAGTTTTGATAATGTATTTTAAGTTTAGAATGAGATTGATATAGTTGGTAGTAATCAGATGTAGGTTGAATTTGTTGAAGAGATTTTTTATTAAAATATTCAGTAAAGTGAACATGAATAGCTTGTTTAATATAATCTTTTTTTGTTAATAAAAAGTTATTTGTTAGAAGTCTATCAATATATATACTATTATATTTTTCAAAAATGGTTTTGAAAAATTTTTTAGGTTGTGATTGGAAAAGTTGATCATGATTCTCAATTTTTTATTGAATTTCTTTTTGGATTTGTTATTAGTAAAAGGTAGTGAGTGCTAATTTAATTTGATTTTGAAGAGTATAAGTTATTAGAGGTTTGTGGTTTATCAATAAGGTTTTTAGAATATTTGGTTTTGTATTCATTAAGAAGCTAATGAAAGTTGGATAATTGTAGATGGTTTTTTAAATATTATATTTGTTTATATTTGTAAAAGAATATATGTTATTTGGAAGGTTTGTCATCTTTAATTTTTTGAATTGTTTTAATGTTTTTGTAAGAAATCTTTTTTAAAGCAGCTTTAGTAAGTTCTTTAAGTATTTTATTCCAAGTTATATTGTGTTATTTTGATTTAAAATGTTAGATATTTGGTTTTGTAATTGGTGAAGACTTTGTGATATTTGATTTAAGTAATTTTCAAAATTTTCCTTTGAGCAGAATTTTCAAAAAAAGTTTTTTATTGTATGTTGTTTAGAATGTTTTGTTTTTTTTATAGTTATAGAAATTTCAAAAGTAGCAATTTTATAATCTGATTCAAATGAGATATCCTCAAGGATATTAGTGTATTCAATTTGATATATATTTAAGTTTGTCTATATTTGTTCAATTTTGCTATTAGATGTTAAGTGAGAAAATATAATGTTTAATATTGTAGAGAAGAAAAATCAATATATATCTTTAAATTAATGACTGATTAAGTATTTGAGGATTTGAAATTATGCAATAGAAGTGTTTTTTGAAGGGTTTCTATCTTGGTGAGGGTTTGGAACACTGTTGAAATTACTAAGTATTATAAATTAATAGTTAGAATTGTTACAGAGTAAAATAATTTTTTCTTGAATTTTGGCATGTAGTTATTTTTTTTCTGAAATAGAAAAATATATTTGAAGAATATGGCTAAAGTTGTGTTTAAATGTAAATCTAAGCCAATTATATAACCATTATAATTGTGTGTTCTAGCAATATATTTGGAGATTCTTTTATATATAAAAATTCCAACATCTGCTTGGTAAAGATTTTTATAGAAACTCCAAAAGCTGTTATGATTTTTAAGATTTTAGTTAAAGAATTTTCCTTCTTTAGAACTAAAATATATTTCTGATAATCTGAAGATATCAAAGTTATGTTAATTAATAATATCAATGAGTGAGCTTTTTTTGAATATTAAAATAAGCCATTAATATTTAAAGAACTAATTTTTATAAAAATTGAATTTATAGATATAAGAGATGTTTAATGAGAGATGATAGTTAAAGTAGTGTTAGTTGAATGTGATATAGAAAAGATGAGATTTGTGATATTGAGGTTATTAGTATTAAAGAAATCAGAATCTAGAAATTGAAAATTGTTGATATAATTTAATAGAAAAATTATAGTATTGATAATAAAGTAATTTGAGAAAGCTATATGACTTGGTATTATACTGTTGTTTAAGTTTTTATAAACATATGTTTCAATAAATATAAAATTAATAGAAATTTTAAATAGTTTATTAAATAGATTATTTTTTAGATGTTAAAGAAAATTTAAAAGTGTTTGATTAGGTGATAGAGTTGGAAGATTATAGTAAGTTAGAAAGTTATTATAACAAGAAGAATTCTTGAAGTTAGGTAAGAAGTTGAAATTCAAGAATAGATAATGGATTTCTGCAAGGTCACTTACCATTTTAAGCTTAACTTGCACAGCTGTGAAAGATACTGTTGTCTTCTCTGTATATTGGGCCTGACTATCATAATCCCAGTCTTCCATGTAAATAGGCTTTACTGCCCACCTACTTACATTATTCTTCTCTGAAAATGACCTACTATTTGTAAAGTATATCATAATTTCAGAGATGGCAGCTGCTTTAATGTTATTTACAGAAAGGTTTATTAAAAAAAAGGTTGAAAGATAATAGGATTAAAAAGATTATGATCATTGATTTTTTTTGAAATAATGTATTTGAAGTTTTTAATAATAAGAGATTCAGCTTGAGAATAATAGTCTTTATTATATTTTTTCCAAATAAAAGGTAATAACTCTGGCAAGAAAATGGACATCTGTAATTTGGTTTATAGTTTTTTTAATAGCTTGGTCATAGCTTAGATTAAAGGTTTCATTATTTTGAGCTGCTACCTGAAGGAAAACTTTAAAGTATTCATAAAAGTAATAGATTTGATGATTTATATTATGATCTGTTTTGTTGATTTTTATGAATTGTTTTTTAGCAGAATCAACAAGTTTGTAAAGAAATTTAATTAGAATTGTAATTTTGAATGAAGCTGAATATTCATTATCTTTATAAAAGATTAAAGTAAGATAAGTCTATACTGGTTGATTAGATTTGTAGATAGGTTCGATTTATCAAAGACAGGTACAGAAAATTTTTTAAAAGATTAGTCAAAGTAATATATAAAGAGATTTTAAAAGTTATGTTCAGTATCAGATAAAAGAATTGTACATTTATAATTATCAGAGTTTTTACAAATATGAACATGAAAAAGAGCAAGTTTTCTAACTAGTAGGATGTGTTTTTGTAGAGATATAATAGATTTAATAATGAAGGATTAAGGTAATAGCTTTTTATGCTTTTTAGCATATTTGGTTGCAGTTTGATATTTGAGGAAATTAAAAACTTTAGTTTT